CCCATCCCAATTCCTCTCCATGCCTTCTGCAAACCATCCTTGCTTCCATTATCTACGTATCCACAACTTGCACGCTTCTGCTATAGCTTATCATAAGGTACGAATGTGTGTGTGTGTGTGTGTGTGTGTGTGTGTGTGAATTCTGCAACATTAGCAGAATTCGCGGATGCTCCATCCATCTTTACTTTGATAGATAGGGTACACTCTTAATAAAATCGATTAAAGGCACTGCAGCTGTAGTTTGCACACCCTCGCCCGCGCAGACCAACTCAAAACGGGCCTCTGAAACTCAAGGCAGCCCCGTGGGGGGGGGGGGGAAATCAAAGCAAAAGATCCACCTGACTCCGTCGAACGAAGAGGAAAAGCGGCCTTTGCCAAGTGGCGACTCCGCGTCTGAAGGGCGAAAGCGCGCCGCCTCTGCGGTCTGCGCGCCCGGCGGGGCGCAAAAGAGAAAGCGGCCCCCTTCCTCTCTTCAAGCTGCCCCCTTGAACCAGCCCCAGTCTTCCTGTTCTCTCCGGCGGTCCCCCGGGGAGCAGATCCGCAAAGGAGGCGTTCGGGTGGGATGGGCGGGAGAAAGGCAACCCGCGGGCCTAAAAATCCGCTTCGCGGCGAGTCTCCTCAGGGCAGTGTTTCCCAAACTTGACAATTTTAAGGCATGAGGACTTCAACTCCCAGAATTCCACAGCCAGCGTTGCTGGCTGTGGAATTCTGGGAGTTGAAGTCCTCATGCCTTAAAATTGTCAAGTTTGGGAAACACTGCTTTGGGCACGCAGCCCGCTCGGCGCGGGTGGCCGGGGCGCTCGGAGCCCGGGTCCTCCCCGGGCGGCTCAACCTCACCGCCCCGCCCCGCCCCGGCCCGCGGACCTCGGCCAGCGAGACGGCGGGGAGCTGGAGGGGGGGGGTGGTCCCGTCCAAGCGACCGCCGTCAGGGCCGCCAGGCCGGCAGGCAGCCAGGCCTGTTTCGGCAGCCTTCCCCTTCCAGGCGTGCCGGGGAGAGCCAAGCGGAAGAGCCGCAGTAGGCCCAGGGCGACCGGCCCCGAAAGTGATCCTTGGCGGCTCTCCGTCCAAGCCGCTTGCCAGAAAAGCAGCGCTGGTGATTCCGGAGCCAGGGCTCCTTCTGACCGACTTTGGCCTGCTTTCCCCCCTCAGCTGCAGCGCTTGCAACCCGCGGTGGTCCGCGCTCGCTGGGGAGCCTGCTCGGCACGGCTGGGCAACATCAGCCGGGGAAAGAAGAGGCGGGAGGGGGGGGGGCAACCGCGGCGACTCGCCTCAGTGCCGGCCTTCTCGTGGGAGCGCCGGGATCTCTGGATCTGACTGGCGGCTGGGCAGCGCTTTTTCCCGGCCTGGAGTTTGCTTCCCTGCCCCCCCCCACCGGCGAAGCCGCGGCCTTGCTTGGAAGCCCCTGCCTTTTAGAGGAGAGGGGGAGAGGGAGGGGAAAGAGAGCCTCCTCCGGCCGACTCAGCGGTTCAGGTGGCATTGCTGGCCCCGGACCGTCTCAAAGAGAGTCAGATCAGCAACAGAATGGGCCTAATAAGAGCACCTTCCTAACCTTCCCGCTTTCGACCCGGTCAGAGGCCTTCGGCACCCCCGGCACCACAAGCCGGGAGCTTCCCCCCCCCCCACTTCCCTCCTGCAGGAATATCAAGGAAAGTGGGAGGAAGCCTGGCTGGAAAGAGGAGGAACCTCAAGCACGTCGGGTCTTCCGTTTAAGTCTGCTCCGAAGGGACGGCGGAAGGGTGGGAGTGGGGGGAGGAAGGGGAGAGAGATTTTTAATAATATACTCGCAGCCCCCGAACAAAGTCTGGGGGCAAAAGAGCAAGGGCTAAAAAATGGGAAGCTTAAGGGTTTTTTGTGTGTGTGTGTTTGTGACACAGACAAATAACACCCCAAAGCTTATTTTCGAAGGACAAACGGCCGGCTGTGCTGATCCGCCTTCACTTCAAGCCAGGGAGATCTCTTGGGTGATCTCAGTCACTCAGCGGAGGCGGCCCTTGGATAGGGACCACCTGGCTAGGCCAGGAAGTCCCAAAACAAGCAAGCAAGCAAGCAAACAAGCAAGCTAGCTAGCAAGCAAGCAAGCAAGCAGAAAATCGCTTCAAAAGAAGGCAACCAGCGACACCTTTACCTTTTCAACGGTCAGGTTCTACTGGGAGTCTAAACAGCTATGAGCAGCCTAGGGTCGCTGCGGGCCATTTCCAGAGCGCTCCGCCGGGTGTGGGGGGACGGGGACCCTCCTTCCTGAAACCCGAAGGCAGGCTATTGAGTGGCGGCTGGCAGATTTGGAGCCAGACCGAAAGGTTTCTCGGGGAAGAGATACACAAAGGCCTGGATCGCTCCTTCGCTTTTTTTAAAGGCAGAAAACAAAGAGAAGGTGAGAAAACATCTAAGGGGTGATCTTGTCCCGGCAAGACTTAGCAACAGGAGACTTGGCTAATCAGAATGTCCAGTTCCTGAAATTTCTTTGGTGAGCTGGGAAAATATTCCTGAATCCGGTCTGAAATTCAGAAGAACAATTGCGTGTAGCCCATTTCATGAACTTGGGAATTCTTGGGATAGGCATTAGTTCCCAACATGCCCACCAGCTAGGTTGGCTGAGCATGAAAGGAGTTGAAGTTCAAAACATCTAGAAGGCAGCAACAGCAGCAACTGTATAGATAGAGATATCGGGGTGCCATAGGCTGATTTGGTACAATCATCTACCATTCAGTAGACTAGAGATTGCTTCAAAGAAAAGTCCAAAATTTAAATATGGGCAAACAGTCTAGTCGTGGCAGCTTTCCACCTCCATCTTGGAAAATTTGGAAATGATCTCAAATAGAATTAATACTATAAACCCGAACCCCCTTCTTTTAATGGGACACCTAGCTAAGATGGAGTATTAAGCAGAAGACATCAGCGATTCGTTGCCAGAACAATGCTAGGGTGATACTATAAATTGCTGACATGGAAATGCAGTCAGTTAAGAATGGTTATCAGAAGGAAAGCAAAGGGCACTTTTTCACTCATTGGAAGGTAAGATCAAACCTTCCCTTGGAGGACACCAATTGATGACAAACCTTGTTTTAACCTGCTTAGAAATTCAGTTCTGGATTACGAAGCTACCCTTTTGGGTCTAGACTTGCCCCTGTTACAGAGTCCGATTCCACGGAAACCAAGTGCTTCGCTAAAAGATACCAACCAGTCTTCAAGGAAAAGCACAGCCACCATATCATCCATTAGGGCCACAGCAGCCAACCTGCTTGCCCAGAACAGCTTCATTGGTCTATTTTGGGCATGGCTCCCAGGGACCTCCCAGATTTGGGACCATGCAATCTGTAATGGAGCCGAGGGAAGAAATAATTGCATACATGAGAAAGTAATCCCGTGAACCACATTTAATGTTAATTCCGTGCAAATGAAATCGAACCCAATGTAGTTCTTGCCTTGGCTCCAGAGGCAATTTCCCATCCACCACTCCGGGGCCAACAGCGATCCTTGGCTGATCTAGAGCTATTCTTGATCTGCAGAGGAGAAGGGCTTCTAGAGCGAAGGGGTGGGAAGGAGAGCGGGGAAGAAGGGCAGCAGGATCGGGAGCCCTGGAGGATTCGTGGCTTTCCCCCACGGAGAACATGCCTTTTAGATTAATGGCATGCATGGAGAAAAGGAGGCAGAGAGTTTGTTAAGTCGGCTGCTCAGGTTACCCGGGGCATCTCTGAACTTGGAGTCCCTTTGTGGGCGTGGGGGGTATGTGTTGAATTAACAGCCTCTCTCTGATCCAGTGTAATCAAAGGCCGAAGAGCCAGCCTTTCCTTTTCGTTAGGGCCCTTTCCCAAGCTGAAAAGAGAGGCGGCAGGACCTCCAGGGATTATATTTCCCCTCTGGATCTATCTCTGCCTCCCCTCCACCATCTCCACGCTTTCTCCCTCCCCTCCCCTCCCTCCTCCTTGGGCATGCTTAATTCAAGCAGCCTCTTAATTGTTGGCATATTTTGAGTTGGGTGGGAGTGGGGAAGAATTGTTCCCTCTTAACATTTCCTGAACAGCTGAAGTCTTATAATAATGCCCAGTGTTTTTAATATGCTCAGAGTAAGTTCGAGGCTTGGGACAGCCAGCGTATTTCCTAACCCAAGCAAATAAAATAAGTAAGCTTCGTCGGGAACTGGCTCAGTTTTGGGGGAGAGGAGGGAAGGCTAAGACGTTAAATAAAAATGAGCAGAGAAATCGAAGTTTCTGATCGGGGGGGGGGAGAAAACTCAAGGCAAGAACTCATAAAGGTCAATGATAAGACTTTCCCCCCGCACACTTCAGCTGTTATGACCTCCGAATAAAAACGTCGCCTTAAAGAAAACGGTCATTGAAACGAAAAACAAGCACAAACACAATCCAGCTCTGGTAGTTCGGTCACAGGGCAACTGAGCTTAGGCGATTTAGCGAGGAAATCGGCTTAATTAACCCCAACTCCGCGGCAGTCCAGTGGGCGTTTCCGCTAACCAATTTGATTCGGGACTCCGCCGGATTTCGCCCTTCGCGGCGGGCAAGGCTGGAAACTTCATGCCGCGGCAGTCCCAGGAAAGATCACCCTCCCCAGAAGGCGCCGCAAACCGGCTCGCACCACCGGTAGGTCCCAGCTAACACGCATTTCCCTTGAGACAAAAAAAGCCCTTTTCAGATCGCCTGACCCGGAGTCATCGGACCTGGTGGGTCACTCGGCTCTGGGTGTCTTCAGCCACGGAAGCAACCGCCCCAGAGCCGGAATCGTGATCAAAACTAGGGTTGCTTTTGTCCCTCCCGTTTCCGTGGCTGCACTGTCAAAACTGCTTGATCTTAATACAGGTAGTCACTCGCTAACGGACTGGGGAGGGGAGCAGGACCCGGGGCAGACTGGAAGCAAATATAAGCAACGGATCTGAATCACGTCTGAGCTTTCTCGGCCTTTCTTAGGCTACGAAAACAATCGCGGATCTCATACTCCGAAACCCCTTTGCCCCACTCCGCCCAATTGCGAAAAATACCCCATCTTACCTAAATCCGCATAGGGTGGGATACTTTTGGACCGACCGAGCTCCATAGCACAAGCTCTGTGAACAACAAAACACACCGTGAATAAATAATTATTTTATAGGGTTTGTTTTGCCAGAAATAATATATATACACCATTTTAACTGAAATACCCCGAAAAGGCCAACATTAAAGTAAGATTGGGGAAAAAAAAACACTCTCCATTTTTATTGCTGAATTTAACTCCTTCTTGGGCCATTTGCTCACTTAAGATTTATAGCGCGAGCCAATCATCCCCAGCGCAGCTATGAGCGAGCTGGTCCAGCTGTCCTAAACATAAAACGGCTGGTTGTCCCAATGACGTCTATCGGGTTCAGTTCGATTTGGCGGAAGGCGTGGAACGGGACGTGGAAGGGTTCTTGCCCAAGATTTATCTGGTAAGGAGACCCAGTGCTGCTAGTGAAACGGGAGGCCGATATCCTGTTTTAAAATGGCTGTGGCAAGTCTCTTCTTAACCAGCAACTCCTTTTAAATCTGTCACATGGAAATCCCCCACTGGCACTAGCAAGTATGCAGACCTATGCTCGCTTTATTTGGAGTAGGCCTGTGATATCAATACTACCTGCAACTAATAATGGGTTTCTCACTTTCAATTATTTGTCAACCTTATGTCCAAAAGAGTAGAAAACTCGGGAATTTCTCCCAGGACTATTACTTAATGGGAGTATTAATGGAGCGGGAGTTAGGGACAGCTTTCCAGAAAACTTGCAGACTACAGGAACCTAATGGAGTAATTCTGAGCGGATAGTCAGAAAATAGAAAATAAAGCAAAAGCAAACAACTGAAACTAAAAACTCTAAATACTACATAATGCCAAAGGCAGGCAGTTGGCAGAAAAAAACCTAGTATTACAATAGCAGATTCTAGTTCGTCTTATAATCAGTATTGGAAAAATTATATGCCTCAGTGCGTTGATATGAAAGTGTTCCCCTTCTTCCAATATAAAGATTAATATCATAAATTGTCGGGATATGTGATATTTTCAGATCAACATGAACAGACTGAGAACCGTGACACAGAAGTGCACACATTGAGATATACAGCTTTTTGGAGTGAGGTGGAGAGCAAACTGTCATATTCCAAAGAAACATGTCAATTGTTGATTGTCTACAATAATTGCTGGTGTACTTGTTTTATTTCAAGGAAAGAAGTATTTCAAATCCACAGTCCATTTAAGCCAGAGTTTTGTTTGGATTTAAACTGATTGTGGGATTGGCACTCCAATTTGAAACATATGTTTGTTAAAAAGCAAGAACCCTTGATAGAAATGGGATTTACTTCCAAGTAAAACTCTACCACTAAACAAACAAATATGGATCCATCGAAATAATGCCAAGATGTACTATCAACATGTGTATGTTTTAAGTTAAAGGGAATGATTTAAATGTAAATCTGCTTAAATCTAAGTATTCTCTCTTAAACTATATGTAGAATCCAAAAAAACAAACTAATGAGGAATTTAGATTATAAAGAACAGTATTTTAACAGGACAGCAATTACTTTTAAACTCTGTATTCTGGAATCATTTTGTTCCTATTCTTATTAATACCAAAATTTCTATTTAGACTTTTAATTTAAGGAAAGTTTGATTTCCTCCATATCAATAAATACTTTTAATTAACTTTTAAGTTTGCCTGAGCCTTTGTATTTTTTTTTATTAAAATGACGTTCCTTTTAAGTAAACAAAGATTAATTTCTCATTAACATTGTCTTCGCAAGGGTTGAAATTCCTTCTTTATTTCCATTTGGGGTTAATACATGTTATGTTTTATTTGGCTTATAAAAATCAACAGATTTTTGGCAAACTATCGAAGTCTGGCAGAAAAAAATAGCTGTCTGCAAGAAAAGCATTTCGATTCTCATAACTTTTACAAAAATACACCTGTAAAATAATAGATTAAATTAGACTTCTCCAACTGCGAAATGCTTGAATGTGTGTTATAAATATACATAACCCCATACTCCAAGATCAAGTAGCTGCTGCCATACAAGAAAACCGAATCCATAAAAATATAACATTTATTAGCGATATCCCAGCGTGTTCCTTGTCATGCTGATCCAGCGGGAGCAGCAGGGAATAAAATTGTTCTTCACAACCTTGACGCTAGACAGCCCCATCGAGAGTCTCCCCTAAGCAAAAGCGTTCTGGTTTGATTTCAGGCTTTGCCTTATGCAAAATGAGGTAACCCCCTTGGAATTATATTTTTTCGGGTGTATTTGTCAGCTTTGACGAAGCCCAGGAACCTCCGAGAATTTATACAAGGTATAAAAAAATGTCAAGGACTTGCAACTTCAAGGCTAAGCCCAGGCTGCAATTAGGAAAGCCGCGGGGACGACGGCGACTCTTGAGTGGGGAAAAAGTGCTGAGGCAGGGAAGGGAGCGGAGGGCGGCATGCGGACCGATCCGTAGCTCTCCCCACGGGGGAGGAAGTTGCCAAGTTCTGGCGCGACTAGACGGGGCGCTGAGCAACTCCGCTCGAAGGGACTAGAGGAGAATCCCTCTAGTTCTAGCCGCGGAGACCCTCTTGAAATATGACAGGAAGACAAGACAAAACCAGTCCACCCCCCCCCAAGTCCCCTCACCCCATAAGCCAGTGGGGTTCGAGCACTGCCCTCTGGGGTTAGGAGAGGGAGCTTAAGTAGGGAGGGGATACAAGGAGTGGGATCGGGCGGGGCGCGGGGGGAAGCGAGAGCTGTTCCCAATATCCCCAAACAACTAATGGAGAAATCAAAGTTCCCCGGAGGCTGCAGCGGGCGCAAAATGTGAATCCCGCAGTTCTCTCTGCAGTCCGTTCCTTGCGCCCGCGCCCGCCCGAGAAGTGCTTACCGGGTGCCTCGATCTTCTTGTTCGCTCACTGTATTTATCCCAGCCAAGAAAAGCTTGGTTTGCCTCCGCTCAGACAGCTCTGGCACTACTCCCGGGATCCATGTAGCCTCCGCTCGCGGAGCCCTGCGTGAGAAGCCGGCGGGTGGGCGCTCGGGAGGCCCTTCCCTCTAGCTCTCCCTCGTGGCCCAGCACCGTCTGGCCCCGCCTGCTCCTGTCCGAGAGCCCACCAGTCAGGTATGCGCTGCCCGAGCAGGAGCTTTTTAGGCTTTTCTCCGGGAGATCTCCACGGTTTCTTCTGACGTCAAGCGGGTTGATAAACGCTGTCGGGGGGGGGGGGGAAGAGCGCAAGCGAGCCAGAGGCGTCCCAAGATTTGGGCGTTTGGGAGCGGGAAAGCCTAGCCCCTTTGATTGATCCCACCGCACCTAACTGCGCCCCGCCGCCCTTCTTCCGCCCGGCAGCCTTCGCCTCCCGCCCCGTCACCGGAGATGGCCTCCCCGAGTCCGGAGGGACCTGGCTTCCGGGATGTCTCGACCGAAGCAAAGAGGTGTGCCAGTTCCTGATGCAGAAGGCATCAGCCGAGACCTCGCCTAGGATTTCCTTTTCTTTACAGCTGGAGTATCCTCCTCCAAAGAGGAAAGGAGGGTTGCCCGTCCATCCTGGGGTGGCCTTTGTCTCACCCACTCCCTTCCTCCCGCCACTGCTCTCCCGATTGTTCTCCTGACCCCAGCCCCGGGCCGCTCCTCCCCCCGCCCCTCTTCAACGGCCTTCTTGTATATTCCCCCCTTCCCAATCAGAAACCAAACGTGGAAGCCCCGAGCGGCCCTGACGAGGCGCAGGTTCTACAAATTGGCTGCTTTCGTTTCCTTCCCTCTCGGCGCGCTTAAATTGCCCCCTTCCCTCCCCCCCGCGCCCTGCCACAATCGTCGACTCGTTCCCGGCTCCCTATTGCTAGTGACAGACCTATTAACATTTTTCTTGCTTGCTGGGGAATGATGATTACGGAGAGCCTCACCCGGGCAGAGGATAACAAGCTCTTTGCCTGGGGATTTGCAGGCGAGGATGCCTTTTCCCTCGCTAGGCCTTAATCCTTCTCTTTCTCAAGTTAGCGAGACCTTTTGGCTAAAGCGCTCAATGACAGGAGGCGGGAACCCACCGCGAAAGGGAGCCTAAGTAGCCGGCCAACGAGAGAGGTCCGGGGAGAGGAGAAAAGGGGCTGCTGGCTTGCCTGACTTAACGGACTCGGGAGCCTCTCTTGCTAACCTTGCTTTGGCTCCGCACCGATACAATTAGTGCCCGAGTCTCTTTAAAATAATCTAAACTCCTAAGCGGGTCCTTTTTCCTGGGTCGCCGGGCACAGCTTGCCCTTCCAAACCCCTTCCCAGCCCTTCCAGCGTTGCCTTTCTTCTTCACCCGTCGGCCACTTCTAGCGCGTTCGCGTGGAGAAGGGGAGGCGAAGCTGTATTGTTTCACAGTACTTTGGTGAGGCGAAAGAAAGTTCCCTTTCTAGTCCGATCTGCCCCACGAATCAACCCTTTCGCGGTGACCAGAGGGACTTGAGCGGAATCGGCGTCTCATACAATAGTCTTTTGCAGTTAAATCACGTCGCTTGATCTCGCGATAAGATAGGCGAGCGTGAACTGAGACTGAAAGGGTTGGGGAAAGGTTGATTCTGCAAAGTTGGAAGAAGGCCTGGTTTGGCTTGGTGGTGGTGGTGGTGGGTTCAGGCAGACGGGATGAGGTCTGTTGTACAAAGGCAGTTTCACCTAAAGAAAACCTGAATTTGGCATGAATCTGAGAACAAAGACCACATGTTATAATATTGAATCTGAGCCCTTTTTAATTAATTTGCAACATACCCACGAGACTACTAGGCCACCAGTAGCCACCCAGATGTCTTAGATTACACTTTTCAGAGTCCCAACTCATTCATAATGTTTGTGGAGCTTATGGGAATTGTAGTCTAAAGGATCTGGAGCAGGAACTGCACCAGCTTGCCCATTACGTATTTTTAAGAAATAAATCCACCTTATACTAAGATAAATCCATCGCACACTGAAACTGGTTGCCAAATTGTATTACAGATTAAATGTGTTTGTAAATACTGGAATTAAAAGTCACTTGTTTCCTCCCCACATTTGTCATATCAGTTCAGTAACAGTCCAACAAGATAATCTCTACAAAGATGAAAGCACACAATGTGCTAAGCTAAAATGTGCAGCAAATTTTAAATTTGAGCAGATAAACTAATTCAAGGAATTTATTTTTATGAATTTCAGAGAATAATTCAAGAAATAATGTATGCATACATCTGGAGGTATGCTATATGAAAGAGATTCTAGAAAAATGGAATATACTATAGGAAAAGAGATTCTGGAAAAACCAGTTCCAATAATAGATATTATGGGTTTAGATTGTTTTTGTCCATACTGCATTTTTTAAATATAGGAGCTGGCATCCTGTTCATCCCATGCTGGGGTAATCTGTATTCATTGAAATAAATAGCAAAGCTGTCAAAGATTAAATGAAAGAGGAGCACACCAATATTTGGGAATAAAACAGACTGAAATGAGAAAGATTGCATATGCTCATAATTGCCAGAATATATCATATAACCAGCTTTCTCAAATTTGTTAAAGTGAGCCTAATCTCATGCTGAGCTGTATTCAGAACAGTAAGGTTCAGGATATAAATTATTATAAACCCAAGAAATAAGATTACTGCCTTGCACTCATTCACATGGAGCTACAATTTATTGAACTTGCTTGATTTGAAAATTCTCACTGAGTGCAATTTGATTAGTAGAATACTGTAAGATTATCTGAGAATTCTGTATTGTCACAATTAATAGAAATATTGTTTATAATGCCAGTGGAAAGTAAACAGTCATATAATTATAGTTATACTATTTGACTTTTGGAAGTTGATAGTATAGAATGCATGTAATGATATAGTACTATAAAATGAATTAAACATTGGAATCTGTTTAATCCCTTAAAAAACAAGGTGCAATCTGCCAGAATATGAGATTGGTATGTATTTTAGAAGCATGCATAGGAAAAACAGCATGTTGGAATCTACTTTGGCATGTTAGATAGCAAGTTGTTTGGTGTTTTGAAGTGACTTTTCTTTTCCAAAGTTTTGAATAACAGAAATCAAGGAACATCTATACCTATTTTCATTTGATTAGGTTTTTAGATACAGTTCCACTGTGATCTCCAAAATGACCTAAGTGTGCTCCTTTTGTTACTGTAGCATTGTATGAGCTTCCATTGCATTTCTCTATTGTCCTGCCTAATATGGAAGATAAAATGAGTGTGATTTTTGGGTGGCCCCTGCCATTAAGAATGGATGGATTCAGGAAAAGGGTATAGGCATCAATAAGAAATGTGTGTCCCAAATATGCTCAGGTTAAAGAATATATTAATTTTAAGATTGACCACAGTCTCAGAAATTATCTACACAGACTTCCCTATTTAATTATGGTTTCTGATCACTCAAGCATTTACGAATATCAGGGATTTTTCCCATGAAAGGGAATATATACACAAATGTTTACAAAAAGCCTCTCATATTTATTGAGAGATCCATAATAAAATTAGAACTTTCAGATTCCCTGCATGTAAAATAAAATGTAGATATGTAATATGGAATGGATTAAAGAGACTTAATTAGAGTAGTTAATTATAGCCTTACCATTTGTTCCAGAAGTAAGAAGTAGATGGAATACACATACAAGGCATTAATCAATTGTTGAATGGATTGATGATATTAATGTTAGTATTAACTTGGGCTGCTCAGCCTTTCAAATGTGACTGAAGGAATGAAGTTGATTTGGGTTAATGTAATCTTGTCTGAGAGATTTTGGCACAAGAACCTACCCAACGCATCAGAGCTGTATCAAGGTCACTAAAAACAGCTCATAAATTAATACTTTCTACTAGTTTAAGCTAGATGTGCAAGTTGCAATGGAGCAGCTGTTTCAAAGAGGCTGTGAAATTAAAGAGAGCAAAGAGGACTGCATGTAAATCAGTGTCTAATAACAGGTTATTGGGAAGGTTTTTAAAAATATATTGCTTCCTTTCTCCTTCCTTGTGCAAATTATCAAAACATCTAAAGAGAAGCAAAGGAGGATTATTCTTAATGTGGTCTGGGATCCCAGGAACTTGGTGGGAAAGAAGGGTGCCAGAAGAAAAACATCCAGGAAAGATAAGTAGAAAACAATTTTTACAGCTAACAAATTTGGTACTTCGTGGTAGTATCTTTGGATTCAGAGTGGAATAAAAAGGACTAAGCCACTCAAGGACCATTACACAGGAGACACACATATATAAATTGGACTGTGCCTTTAATTAAAATATATTTAGGATTGAGCATCAAATGAAGCTCATCTGTATCATAATATGCTTTATCCATCTAGTTGAAACTGATACTCATTTCCTGCTTTTGGTTGTTGATTATTTGTTAGATACATTTTTAAGTGAAAATATCCCCCCCCCCCCAACATACAGGCTCTGCCATGACCTGCTATAGGTTTTTTTTGTGCACTCCTTAATACAAGAGCGGAGAAGAAGCTAGATTTCTGAAATTAAGCTTGAAGTAAGAACATTTTTTGTCTGCAACAAATATGAATCCCATTCAGTCATGGTATTCAAAACAAACCTTAGCTTCAGAATATTTTAATTCTAAGCACATGTATTTTGCAGCAAGCCATGGACTGTGAATTTTGGAATTTTAATAAAAATAAAGTAGATCCCGTAAGCCTGAACTCTGGACATCCTTGCTCTAGTGTGGTGTTAAAGTTGCTGAAGTTGAGAAACATTACTCAAGAGAATGTGATGTCATATTTTGGGAAAGCTTGTATTTTTATTACTTTTTAACAGGAAGCATCTGTAACTTCTGTATATCAGATAATTATCTACTAGCAGATTAATCACACATGCCCAGCCACAAAGAATCTTGCAAAGATCTCTCCTTGCTGTATTTCACAAATGAATAAATATCACTTTTTTACATACTGTATCTGATCTGACTTTGTGATGCAGTCACTGAAGTGATTCAAAAAAAATGACACGTACGTATTTTGTATGATGACACAATTAAGGAGGGCTTGATAGTAAGGTTTTTAGCCCACACACCAGGGAATTCTCTTGTATTTAGTAATCCTTTTTTTCTTGCTCTTCTTGTCTATAATGAGCAACATAATCCTTAACTCCAGCCCCCAGGACCTTTAATGGCTCCAGTGGAATTTTTCCTTTTCTCAATTACTGTGCAAGGGGAAATTCTGTAAATTAGCTCTAGGGAAGGCTGGCTTAATAATCAGTAGTTAAGGTACATTTCCAAATGGAGAGTGCATGGTGGCTTAGTGCCACAGTTCAGAGAAAGCTGCAACTGCACAATCATTTAAACAGCAACATTCCTGTGTTAACATTCTAAAGATTCCATCTTGGGATCTGTTTATTTTAAAGTTAGATTTCATGCTCAGGGTATATGTGCTTGATATAGGTATGTGAGTGAAGCAACAGAAAGACATTGGCCCATCATACTAAAGCAACATAAATACATTGCAATGATGAAAAATTACTAGTAAAAGAAGGAACTATTCTCTCCCTCCCCTAAAGGGGAAGTAGTAATCATACTTTGGGGAGCATTTTTTTTGATAGTTATG